TATCATGAGAAGAATGATTTATGTATTTTATTTAGTTGGCGGTATAGCAACAGAATTATGCTGCAGTAGTAGGTGTTTAGCGGCAGTCAGGCAATAATGGCCTGCTTTCAGGATTGCCCTTCAGATGCTGTGCATTGATACCACAGTTCAATCTGTTGGTTCAGTGTTTTTCACCTCATCATATCCTGCTGTAGAATTTGGGTTTAACCAGAGAGAAGTGGAGTGCATTGATGGTTCTGTTCCCACAGGCAAAGTAAATTTGTTGTTCCACACAGAAGAGTGAACTATGTGGCTGACCTTTTCACATTTGGCTACCTGTATCTAGGCACCTGAGTCCAGAAGCATCATTAAAAAATCAGGCTGCTTCCCTAGATACCAGTGCATGGAGGATTTATTTTCCTGTTACAGAAATCCAGAGATTTCATGTGCCACACAGCTTGGGTTAAAAATACCAGTTCCCAGGAACAGCTACCTGCTTGAAACCAGTGTTGGCAGTGAGCATCTTGGTGTGGAAGCCAGAGTGCTTGCATCTAAAGAGTTAAACTGACAAAACAGTTCAACACTGCGGCACTGATATTAGGGGGAAAATCATATCTCAGACAACAGGTTTCTCAGCAGCATAAAAAAATATCTGTTTTAGTTACAATTGCACCAGAGGAATATATTGAAGAATTGGAAATGATTCAGAAAATAGTTAAAAGAACAGTTTGAGTTCTGGGAAACTTGCCTTAGTTAGACTGAAAAAGTTCAATGTATTTAGTTTATCAAAGAGAAAATTAAGAAGTGATTTGATCAGTACCTATGTGGGGAAAAGATTTCAGATATTAGAAGGCTCTTTAATCTGAAGAGAAAAAGGTTGGAAACTGAAGTTAAACTGATTCAGATGGCAAACAAGAAACATGCTTTGATAGTGAGGGCAATTAACCATTGGCACAGCTTATTATGGAATGTGACAGTTTCTCCATCATTGGAAATCTTTAAATCTAGATGGGATGTATTTTCAAAATACATTGTGTAGTTCTGTTGGAAATGAAGCAAGAATTACTGGATAAAATTCTGTATCCTGTGGTGTTGCCATGCAAAAGATCCCTTCTTACCTAAAAATCTATGCAGACCAGATATTGTTCTAAAACAGGCGCATTCTGTTTGTTTACTTGCTTCTAACTCTTGGGTTCTAGTGAATCCATTCAAAGATCTTCCAAATAATTCTCTTTTCGCCTAATTCATCTTCTTGATGTTGGAATGTCACATAAGGCACAAACCAGTGAATGATATTAGATTCTGAGCTTGTGAGGTGCTATTTCAACTCCTTGCGACTTAGGGGCGAGTTTTGGGCAGTCAGTTTTACAGGGTCAGGCACCAGCAAAATGTGAAGGGTCAGGGTAGGGAGTAATGAGAAACTGCTGTCCCTTGTTGAGTGTAACAATTAAAGAAGTGGGACTTTGCAGAAGGACTGTAGCAATAACAGTGCCACAAGGAATGAAATGTGTTCTATTTTCTGCAACCTGCAGGAAAAGCAAAGCCCATCTAGAATGCCCTCAAAAGACTCTTTTGGTTGATTGTCCTAGTGAGAGATGAGTTTGCTGCTTCCTATCCCCCCTCCTTCCCAGTGTTTTCTGAATTGTTCATAAAATTGCTGTAATCAGCACATTTCGAGAGATGGTATAGTGCCTTGCTTGAGGGCCTCATTAACCATGCTTAGGCTCAGATTCAAAGAGAGGGCACAATATGTTTTTTGCATCAGGCATTATTAGCAGAACATATGAGCACTAGATTCACCTCGTACACAGCAGTTTGTCTGCATAAGGTACTTTCCCCCCCACTTTGGTGCAGATAAAATGCTTGTGGATAAAGCAGTGGGCCATTTTGTGTTAGCACAAATCTGATTCAGGTTCTTCTCCCTGTAGTGTAGAGTCTACTCAGTCGTGTCTCTCCTTCATAGTTAATTCTCACAGGTCATTCTAGATAAGTGCAGAACATGCACCATTGACACTAGATTTAGCGCATGCACCTCAGGTGGAACAAATGCCTGAAATTTGTAATGTAGTTGTCTACACCAGAGAAACCACCCCCACAGGTGGCAGTCCTCACTGCCCTTATTGTCAGCCTCACTTAAGAGGGCAAATTGAGTAGCCAATGAGACTGAACAACCTTGATTCCTAGTTGCATCCTTCAAATTCAAGATTGCAATACACTGGTAGAGGAATTGACTTATAAAGGGCAGAAAATTCCTGTGGCTTACACCTCTCCATGTGAAACTGTGAGAAAGGAGGGTTAAACAACCTATAAATTAGGGTTTTGGTAAAGAGGGAAATCAGTAATTACCTCTGTTGGGGCTGAATGATTTGAGTTACATTTTGCAAGTAACCTGTGGCCTGAGTATGCCCTTGTTGTATTAGCAATAGAACCACACATTAGTTTTAAGACTCCCTCTCGAATAGGGGCATTGTAATGTTTTTTAATTGGGGCTGATAAAAATGTAGCATTGCTTGTAGGTTCCTTAGAGAAGCCAGTTGTGAAATTGGGTTTGTATTAAACCTAATGATGGAAAATTAAGCATAGTACGTCTGTCGGAAATGGTGTGCGATAAAAACCGTCTCCTCTCCATTACAGGAGGTTAATAGGGAATAGGTGAGGAAAGATTCATTGGGAAAGTGAATCCAACTAGGAAAATTAATAAGCCTTGAAATTCCCTCTGTTCAGAGTTTTCACACTGTCATTAGTAGCAGCATTAGGATTATTATACAAGTGCTTAGAATGTTACTCTTCCTTAAATTCCAAATTTATTAACTATTTTATGGGAGGGTGATTCTGCTAAAGCCAATCTTGTGCTTATTTTCCTATGCCACATGAATACTGTTGTTTTCATGCTAGTCTGGATTCTGAAAAATATCTTTAATTTCAGTAGGCAGGTTTTCAGAGCAGCCGATCCCCAGTAACTCCAATAAATCTTGGAAGAAGTGGCAGGTACTCACCATCTCTGATAATCAGAGCTTAAGCTCTTCCTTATGTCACCAGAGCTTAATACAAGCCTGCCTTATTGATGATAAAGTGTCCCCTGCTACCATTTCTTTATCTTTCTAATATTCCTATGACTTCTGAGCAAAGCAAATTCTCACGAATGCCTGTCCTGATACTTCCCCTCTAATCTATCATTAAGGCTTCTAAGAGATGGTTTCCCATGTGAAAACGTGTTCTAAGGCCCTGCTCCATCTGTTCTTATCTAACTTTCCAACCACAGGGATGGCATAGGTCCTAAATGCTTGTGGCCAAACTCCAGAGTGTTTTTCTGCAGGAGCAGAAGTAGTCACTCTCATGCCCTGGCCAAATTTCAGCATTGGCAGCTGAAAATTCCCCTGAGGTTTCAGATGGATGTTTTTTCTTCTTTCTCCTTTCTAAAAAGCTTTAATAATGTGCTGATGTAGAATCATTTCTAGTGTCTGTCCCTTTCCAGTTTTAGGCAAGTGAATTCTCTGTATCCAATCTACGTACATTTTGAGATCTGCTGATCGAAATAAGTTATATATTGTATTTATTAATCTCATGGGAGTGGGTAGGAATGATAGTAATAACTCATGCAAAATACTAGGACCCTTATCTGTAAACCTACCCTGAAACTCGTAGGTTTGTGGACCTGGGCCAGTTGCTTGCATTCAGTCAACTCAGCTGGATAAGAAACAAAAACTGGAATATAGGTGCTGCATCTGAGTTGAGCTTCTCTGGTTAAATATAAAAAGGTTGGTAGGCAATTGTCATTTGATGGACGTATTCTCTGTTTCCTTATCAACTAGGAGTATTGTGTCATAGAGTTAGAGTTTTGCCTGGGATATACAGTTCTGCAGTTTTTATCTGTCTTGTGATGGAGATTTTCTAATTCTTCTTTTTGAAAAGAAACATTTTTCTGCGAAATTTACATTTCTGAAATTTAAGTGTCTGTGAGCAAGCTAGTAGGGATGTGTTAAGTGGGCCTTATTCAGTTTGGATTCAGATTCAGCCCAAATCAGACAGTGATTCAATTAGTTGATTCAGATCACTGTCCCTGATTCGATTTGGCCGAATATGAATCTGAAGATTCGATGCTGATTTGGAGGATCAGTGATTTGGACGGAGAAAAAACATCTAAGGCTGTATCTACATACCTTGAGGTAGCAGGCATGGCTTGTGAACTCTGCAATGCTAGGGTGGATGGAGTGTCCCACAGGAATGCAGGGGGGCCCTCCACGTGCTCCAAATACTTCTGGTCCAGTTCCGGGTCTGCCAAGGAACACTCTGGGCCCCTCCCTCCCCCCCCGCACCTCCCCAGCTAGGTGATTAGCTGTGGGGGGACCCTGGGTGCTCCCCCAGACCCAGGAGGCACCAGTCCCCAAGCTGGAGGGGCATGGGGGGGCCCTAGTGCACTCCCCAGTGGACCTGGAAATGGACTGGAAGTGCTTCTGGTCCACTTCTGGGTCTGTTGCCAAGTGCACTGGGGAGCCCCCCATGCTTCTGTGGGATGCTCCATGCTCCCCAGTATCTCAGCACTCACGAGCCCCTGCTACCTAGAGGTATCTAGAAAAAAAACATTTAAAGCTGTCTGTATCTCTGAATCTTTCCAAATCTCTCTGGGCTCTCAAATTATGCAACCAAGTAAATTACTGAACCCTTAAAAAAATCTTGTGCATTTGTAAGCACAAAACAGTTTTGTCCTAGGTTATTTTATAAGTAATGATAAATGATTTCGGGTGGAATCACTTTGCATACTTCACAACAGTATTATACATTATTTCATGCTATATGGTATGTGTTTGTCTTTTGTGTTATTTTTACACTAAAAATATTTGCATGTGTTTTAGTTTTTCTGGGTTGACTTTGAGCATGTGGTTTTTTTGCTACTTATTTCTGTGCTTTATTTCACCCACACTAACCTATAGGGGAAAAAATAAACAAACAAATGGAACGGGAATGAGACTGGAAATAACAGATAGGTGAAAGCTTGTTTTGCCTCCCTGTCTTTAAAACAGACAGTAGCCATGGGGAGATGACCCAGCCGACTCTGACTATCCAGACCCATCCATACCGAAGCTGTGAGCCAGTGGAAATGTCCTACCCCAGGGGGCAGTTCCAGCCAGCCATCCGAGTGGCCGACTTGCTACAGCACATCACCCAGATGAAACGAGGACAGGGCTATGGATTTAAAGAGGAGTATGAGGTGAGAGGAACATTTGCTCACATGAATAAATAGAGAAGTGGCAGTGACAAATCTCAAGAAAGGATACAAGCTTGCGAGGAAAGAATAATTACTTCTAACAGGATCTTTTTCTTAATTCAGTCAACTGTAATCCTTTTCTTCCTTTTGTATTTGAAACTAAGATTATAACCCTAAATCCTTGCCTTGTGTTGTGTCTCAAGTCCACTTCTTCTATAGTGACAACCATTTCTAAACACTGTCAACTTCCTGGAATTATAACACTGCTGAAAGAGATGGAGAATACATATGATTCTATTAGGTCTTCTCCTTTGCAAATGTGGCATATAATTAATAGCCCTGGTGATACTACTTATTGTCCCCTTGCCATAGAGAGGGATAGTAGTGATTTAACATGCATTGAACTCGATGGAAAAATTGGAGCTCTCTGGTTTCATTCTCACTGGTGTGACAAAACTAAAATGCAAGCCATGCTTTGATAAGCAAAGCAAGCTTTTTTGCTTCTGCTTTCTTCCCAGTTGCAGCTGCAAATTCGTTGTGGCCACTGATCAACTTAAAGAGCAACTTAACAAGGTCTATGCAGAACATAAACACAAAGCCCTGGATACCCCTGGTGGCTTTAATAATTTTTGAACCTCCACTTCAGAATATCTGAAAGCTAATCTTCTGTTCCAACTGGCTGTGAAGTGAGAGACATAAAATGGTTGTTAAAAAGGGCACCAAATCCAAGATGTGGTAAGAATCACGAACTTAATATGAACAAGTGGAATGGACGAAATGAAGAAGAAGTTTGAAAGACAACTGTACCAAGATGTGGGAAGGAGCAAGAGAAGTAAATAGCATAAACAGTCAATGAAATTCTGCTCTGGCAAGCAATACCTGTAATGAATGAAATAAGCTTGGGGGGAGGCCAAAAGGTAATATGTTATAGTTCCATTAAAAGAACTTTAAAATAGCATAACAGCTGTGAGAAATATGTTACTTAATGAAAACAGTTCATTTTTTTTCTGTAATTAAAATTCCATGGGGGTGTTTATCACTTGTGCTAGTTTGTCATTATAGAATGGGAAATGGCTTTCCTAAGTCATTCTGGTCAGAGAATACTGTGTTGATCAGATGGCATAAAGGACTCAGTGGGACAAATATTTCCTATTACTGAACACAACAGAGATGAGTCCACTCACTCATATCCCCACAAGTCTGTGCTCTAGTGTAACTACTAAAGCATGGATTTTGTTTAATATTGAAACAACTGGTCTGTTCTCTTATGGCAGTGGTTCTCAATATTGTTAGACTAAAAACAAAAATGCCAGCCCTTAGCTGTTATGCATGTTTTTGCTATCAAGAAATAATAAAGTAATTCTTCTGTTGCAGAAAGAGAATTCAGAATGACTGCAACCAAATTGTTTTTGACACTATAGATTCCTATTCGAAATATCAGTTTATCTTATGAATCATGTGTCTATCTTATGAGTTTATCTTATGTATCATGTGCATTTTATGGATCATATTTGCAAACATGTAAGTGTTAATATTGAGTGGCAACCCTTGGCATCCTTATAAGGACCTTATGGCATCAGGTGACGTGACACTCAGATTGAGAATCACTGCTTTACTGGTACGAATAACTTATACTCAAGTCACTCCACGCCTACATGAACAGTAATCAAAATGGTATGTAACACTTGCAGGTACTGCAAAGACTTAGGTTTTGATGTTAAGAGAGAAAATAAACAGGTGCTAGAGCAGTAATTCTGAACAGGGTGGCATAAGATCCTTTCAGGGGTGCCACTCAATATTAGCACTATTCAGTGTGCAAGCTTCTATGCATGATTCATAAGGTAAATTCAGAGACTTCAAATAGACCTGCTGTGGTCTTTGCAACACAAAAAATACCCTATTATTTTTCTGTAGTAAAAAAAAAAAAGTGACAGCTAAGGGTTGCCCTGACTAAAAAGGCTAAGAACCAGTGTGCTAGAGAATACAAAACTTTTTTGGCCCCAAGGTTGGTAATTATCAAAATAACACATTAACATGAAAAATGTCAATGAAACTCCACCTCCACAAGATGTGATGCTCTCCAGAAAATAGCGGTCGTGTGTGTATATAATGATACAATGTAGAATTATATAACCTGTTTCATTAGAAGATACCAGTGTGTACTGCATGGGTACATCCAGATGAGCCTGCACGTGCCTCTTGCAGTATGTCAAACCCCTTTGAGATGCTGCAAGAGTCGCATGCAAGAACAGGAAAAGGTTCCCCTGGTGCAAGTTTGCAGTGCGGGGGAAAAATTAGACCCCTGGATATCCAGGGATAAAAAAAAAAGAGCTAAAAAAAGCCGGGCAGGGTACAGTCCCGGACCTTGCCCTGAAACAACTGCAGGCTGGGTCCTCCACAAAGATGCTCTGGCTGCAGAACATCTCTGTGGTTGGCCCTTGCCCTGGTGCTGAAGCACTCTGCTTGCCCATGCAGGGCAGGCAGCGTGTCAGCAGGAGGACTCCAGTGCCAGTAAGGAAGGGGTCAGGGAGGCTGGAGGAGGGGGAGGGGTCTAGAGGAACCCCCACTGGCCCCAACCACTCCCCCACCCCACAATCACTTCCTTGTCCAACCCCCCGCCTGCCCCACAAGCCCCTTCAATCCCTTCCCTGCCCGGCCCCATCTCCACAATAAAAAAAAAAAAACAACCCAACACTCCCCCCAGCACTTACCAGCTGCTGTCTGGGTCATTGGGGCCCTGTCCGCACAGCTCAGGGGAGGGTGAGGGCCTCGGGCTGGGGCCACTGGGACTTGCTGCCCCCCACTGCCCTGTGCTGCCCAGGGGGGCTCTGCCAGGAGGCCCTGGAGCCCCCACAGCCCCTGATTCTTGGGTGAATATAAGCAGGGATGGATGGGGCAGTCATAGCGGGGGCTGCAGCATCCAGCAGGGGATGGGGCCAGGTGGGGCAGCAATCAGGGGGCTGAGGTGGGGCATGTGGGCCCTGCGGGGGGGGCCATAGCCCCTGTGTGGGGACCGTTGCCCCTGTGGAGGGGCTGTAGCCCTTGTTGGGCGGCAGCAAAATATATATTCATGTATTCATGAATTCATGAAACATGTATTTAGAGTTCACTTTATTATTATAATAGAGACACTGGAAGTCTTTCAAATTGCTTTAACACTCTAGATAGATCAATAAAACATTGCCCAACTGATCTCTGTCTCTCACTCTCTCTCTCTCTCTCTCTCTCTCTCTCTTTCTCTTTATAGTGGTCTTTTGTTTTAATTGTGGAGGAACATGGATTTTGGGGTATTTTACAGAGTTACTTTGGGATTTTTTTATCAGGGATTTTTCAGGTTTCCAATGGGGAACACCAGAATTCCTGCTAGGGAGGTCAGTGGCAGGACCCTGCCTGCTCAGGGCTGGCACTTTGGACCCAGCTGGAGGTGACTGACCTCCTAGCTAAATGGGGCCAGGAGGACATGCTTGGACAGTTCAAAGCAGGCCACCACACCCGGAACATCTTCCAGGCAATAACTGCCCAGATGGTCAGGAAGGGAGCACATATGGCAGTAGTGCCACACAGAGGCCAACCCTGCAACCACAGTGCACTGGCAGCTGGCCCAGAGGGCCAGTCCTCCTCCGGGTCTGGCAGGTGCACAGCCAGGCATCATCCCCCACTGCCAGACTGCTGCAGTGGGTAGAGGGTGCAGGGAACTCTCAGGGCTGCTTCAAGAGTCCGGCTGGCACAAGGGGTAGTGTCCCCAGGTACCAATTGGATGGGCCCCAGAAGCTCCTGAGAGCCCTGAGCTACTTGCCAAGTTAGCTTTTTATACTGCTGGGGACAGCACAGGTGCTGGCCCTGGGCTCTAGCTCCCCCTGGCTGCAGATCCGAGAGGAGCCAGGCAGGGGTGTTTTGCCCCAAGTGGTACAACTTGCTCCACAACAATGTGCATGTCTGAGCACGTGCACTGAGGCAAAAAGCGCTGGGTCAAGTTTGCACCACTTCTATATAAGCTGTGGCACATGCTTGCATGTGTGGATGCACCCCATGGCTGTGTCCAAACAAGTGCGGCCGTGTGGTACGTGGCACATCAGATGCATCTGCGGCACCACATACTGCATATTCAGGCACTTCCTGTGCTGCTACCTTGCAATGCAGGTTTTTTGTTTTTATTTTTTGGTTTTGTTGACCCCTGAAAATTCAGGGGTTAAAAAAAAACACGCAGAAAAAAAGCAGGGCAGTGCACGCTGCCCAATACGAGCTTGGCTGACTAAAGCAATGCTCCAGCTTCGAACCAGGCTTCTAGCTGCAGGAGCAATGCAGCTGCAGCTTTCCCAGCCCCAAGGACCTCGGGTAAGGCTGCTGGTGCCAGCAACTGTGTTGGCCCCAGCCTCCTCTACCCCACCTGGGGTAACCTGTCATGTACCAGAGGGCACATGGCGTGAGCATTCCCTGGGGACAAGTAGCAGTGGCACAAGGTGTCCTACTGCTAGTTGTCCCCAGGGAACCAAATGTCTACACTTGTACACAGCCTACAAATCTTGAAATCACATATCAAGTTCTGTCCTTGGTTAAATGGTCATAACTCCCTCTGTATTAATCTGGATATCTACAGTCATTATTGGAAGGCTGATTTCAGCTTTCAGGACATAGTATTTAGGCAAAACTGTAATTACTAGTGAAACGCAGCTACCACCAGTAGTACTACAAAGGTAGAGAGGATGTAATACTTATAGCTTGATTACACTACTCAGAGTAGTTTCATGTTGGCACAATATGGTGTCCTGATGTGGGATCTAGCAGAACACAAAGCTAATAAATGTGTTTTGCAAAAGTGTCATAGGAACCTTAAACAAAAATAGTCCAGCCTTGTTTTATGCCTCTCTTAAAATTTGTTTATCTATAATATAGTTTAATGCTGGTATCACATTCAACAGCATTTATCCTTTAAAGAGCTGATATTCTATTTTACTTTGCCAGCAGGCCTCATAAATTACAGTCTATTTAGTGACATGATATCAAATAATTTTACTCTTATGAAAGTCCTTTGTGAGCCGGAGTTATCACTCATCCATGGCAGTCTTTTATCTCTGTATTTTTCACCCCTATGGTAGCACATCTGAGTTGCATATTTGTTTATAATATACCTTCACCCACACTGGCTTATAGTAAATGCTAACCTTTCATCCAAGTATGCCTTTCAAAATCTTCACAGCTTGTTATATGTGCAGAAAACTGATGTGTGGCATTTGGTGCCCCTGTTTAAGGAAGATGGGAGGTGACTCTTATTTACACTTGTGAATGCATGGATATGATAGCACTGAGGATGCACACACTTTTTGAGTGCACTTTATGTCCCTATGGCTCAAAATATGCCTTGGCCCCTTCATGACCACTGTCATTATTTAATGCATCCATATCCATAAGAATACACAGAGGTGGATAAAGCTGCTTAGGCACAGGCCTTGTTTAAACATCACTCATTCACTTTTCTGTACCCTTTAATTCTGGCTTGCAGCTGGCCCAACACTCAGACTCTGAGCCAGCAGGTGATATGGACAAATGCCTGCAGTAACTTTCACTTGTGCTTTAAGACAGCGTCGGAATACAGGTTTTCAGAGGACCCGTCTGTTCCTGTCTGTTAAATGTGGACATCACTAATTAACCTGTTACTTCATTCTGGCCAGCTGCAAATTTCACTCTGTCTAAGAAAATAGATCCTTTACGTCAGAATAGATTAATTCAAGTACTAATTCAAATGATTTGTCCTTAAATAAGCCAAAATATTGAATTAGTTGAGCATTAAACTTGTTCTGTGCAAAGCTTTAATGTAATGTGACCATAGCTACTTTCATAGGGTCACAAATTTACAAAAAACACTCCACTCCTATGCAGTTATGTAAGTGATGGGTGATTTCTTTTGCCCCCAAAGTACTTAGAAGCTGATTTCTTTTGCGAAATCTAGCCCTTTAACTTTAGATTAAAATTAACTGTGCAATTTATCAATACCATCTCATGTTAACTACTATTAATATATCTTACTTAAACTTCAGAAAACTGCTGTAGGGAAAGAACAAAATATGAAAATTAAGGATTAGCTTTTGTGAATGTTAAAATTCTGTAAACAGTTAGGAAGCTCTAATTTTAAAAAATGAGCTCGGAAGGTTTGCTGTTCCAACATGTTCATCTTGTGTATGTAAAAATACACTTTTACATTGGGAATATATGCCCTACCTCAGCTGGAAGTGTTCCCCTTCAATTCAAAGAGGAATTACGATTTTTTTGTATACTGTGAAGTTACCTTGGTATTCAGTATGAAGAGCTGTCATAAACCTCCCCCTGAATACCTTAAGGCCTTATGAAAACATAGAAAGCAAAATCCTCATCAGTTTCAGTGGCAGGATAGCATTATCTGATATGGGATTTACTGGGCATGTTTGTAGCTTCTTTGGACAAGACAACCTCACACGTGCAATTATGACAAAAGGGATATTTTTCTTCTCAAAAGTGTATGTTGGGATACCTAATGACTACTGCCATTCTCTGGACAATCTACTGTAACTAGAGAGTAATGTAAAAATAAGGTGTCTTTTCCCTCTGTCTTTGAAGATGAAAATGAGCTTCCCCCACCTACTTTCTCTTACATATTTTTTTGCCTACGAGATTAGTTGCTATTAGGTAGCAGCTGTCTGTAAAAGGAAATAGATGCATGATCAAAGCCCTCACCAATTACTGAGTTATTACCTTTTACTCCAGGGCTTTTGAATTGGAGCTTGCCTTCCCCATCTTTGTCAACAATGCTTATAGCTGTGTCTGACACTGTCTGTCTCACAACTCCTTTGAGGGGAAATTCAAGATGGTCTGGTCTGCCAGGGAGTTGCACAGATCAGGTTTTATCATAATATCCGATTTGCAGATCCTAATTATAGTGTCTCTTCCGTCACAATTCTCACGCAATTATAGACCTGGGTGGCTTATGAAGATGCATACAAATTCATTTTCAAAAAAGATCTACTGAATACTACCTACTGTTAGTAAAGGCAAACTTGATTCCACAATGATTAAATTATAAAACCACTATTCTCCTGGGATGGTAAACAGTACAATCTGCAATGGTGCTGTTATTCTTTGGAATGCAGCATCTAGTTCTGAGTAGTGCTTGAGAGAGAGTGACAGAAAAACTGAGTGGAATGTCTGCCAAAGCTGCTTTTTATATTTCCAGCAGAAAGCAAGGTTGGGTTGGCTGCAGCTGAGAACTCCAGTTTTCGCATTGTGGTTTTCTGTGTCAGCTGTGAAAAGCTGCGCTGGTAACACCCAAGAGACAGTTAGCACCATCTGTGTCCCAACACAGTTCTGCTTTTGCTGCTACTTTGAACTGACCCTGTTGAAGTTCCCTTCGATGCATCTCAAAAATGATTGTTCCTATTTACAGATATTCCAGACCATATTCCAAACAGAGAGCGGTTGTCTCCTTGGCCATATCCAGTGACAAGTGCAATTTTTCTGGCTATGTCCATACAAACACTCATTCTGGGCCTACCCCAAGAGAAAAAATAGCTTATTTAATCATGCCCATGGAGACTCACAGGACAAAGTCAAAAGGGTGAAGTGACTCGATTTGCCAGTAGAGCGATGTGTGCCATACCCTATAAAATTCCTGATTTAGAAATGCTGTCACCTCTTTTTAGTAGTGTGCATACATATATAGCACCTAGTCAATGGCTATAATATTCTTCTTTGCAGATCTGTGGGCAATATTGCCTTTCAATGATTTCTTTAGGAAAATAAGATGAAGTTTTGCATGGTGGAATTACTGAAGGCCTGTAACCCACCATTAGTGTAGTAAAAGGAAAAATCATCGGCTCCACTGAATTCTATGTTTCAACCATCTGGTCTCTCTCTGGGGTATACGCATGTACAATCATCCCAGACCCAAAGGGTATTTCTCTCTATGAATATGCAGCTGGAAACAAATAAAGTTCTCCATACCTTTTAGATCCATAGTTGCATGATGAAAATGATACTTAGCCAATGCACGCCAAGGGATGAGAATGGTCTCTGAAGAGCTGTGCCTTTTGCATTATTAGATGTGCCCTTTCCTCAAGAACAGCTGTTTTCTTGGTTGAGTGTTGAATTATGCAGTGCTTTCATTTCTGCCCTGCATTGTCATGTTAAACCACCTAAAGGCATTGGCCAGTTTTTTTATAAACGCTCCACCATTGTTTATTTTGCAGGCTCTCCCTGAAGGGCAGACAGCATCTTGGGATACAGCCAAGGAAGATGAAAACCGCAATAAGAATAGATATGGGAACATAATCTCCTGTAGGTGCAAATTCATATTAAACTAAGCTTCCTTTGTATGTTTGTAAGCATCTGGTGGAAAAGAATATTTTGATAGTTTAACTAAAGAAACCTGGTTCAAAATGCCCAGCTTGTGAAGAGTTAGTAGCAAATGAAGTTTCTTTTTATGAGATACTTTTTTCTTCTTGTTTTGTGTTTACTGCTTTCTTCTTAAGGGCAAATTCCTGCTGTCAGATTCTCACTGTCTATCCTGATGTCAGTAACATGTCTGTTATCTCTACATGTGCAGAGCCATCAACCTCATGTATGGGAATGCAAAGGGAGATCAGGATATAACAGATATTATATGTGGATCAGAGAGCAAACGTTTTCCCTTAAACGAAAGGCCAGCAGCCTGTGGAGCACTCATAGAGCTCTGCTCCTTTTTCCTACTTCTAAATCACTTTAAAACAGGTTAAAGGCATTGAGCTCTATCCTGTCCTACCTTGATAAGCAAGCAGTTGTTGTAACGATTATAAGGATGTTACAAGATTGTTAATGGGAAAGAGAATGGAAAACTTGTGGTCAAAAGTATGGAATGTCAATACAAGATAAAAATCAAGGCACTTTTTGAAAAGTCCCACTAAGTTCTCTGGAGCTGAATTGGTATAAATGAGGACACATTTAGGTAATATTATTTCCTATTAAGAACATAGGAATATAAAAAATGCCATGCTGGATCAAATCTGTCTGTACCTCTGAAACCCTGTATTCTGTACTTCTCAGTGGCAGAGAATTAATGTTAAGAGGAAAAGTATTCATACACACCTATCCAGACAGAGCTGACCCCTCCCTCTCCATCCATTACAGCTTCCAGGAAAAATAACATATTTTGTCCTAGGAAGAAAGATTTTCCTTGTAAACCTGAGGTTTTAAGGTTCAGTTAGTTTGCTGAGACCCAAAAGATCTAGGTTCAGTTCCTTGTTCTGCCTCAAGCATCCTGCGTGACCTTGCATGAGTCATTGGTATCTCTGCTTTCCATCTGCAAAATGGGGCTAAGGATGAGGTCTTCTTCCTCACCCTTTCTTTGTCTTGTTAATTTAGATTGTCAGTTCTCTGGAACAGAAACTGTCTTTTACTATATGGTTGTACGTGGCCTAGCAAAATTGGATATGAATAATGATAGTAATGGGTTAAAAGGGGCAAAAGAGGCTTGCTAAAATAAGATTTGCCCCTGACAAGACTTTTTTTTTTAAATATCCAAAGAAAACCCCTTTCTTTTTCCTAGGTTTTGTTTAATTAACGAATTTGTTTTTTGGCTTTTTGTTTTGTTTTGTTATTCCTTTTTCGTCTGTGAGCTGTTGTGTCCAGCTGGTTGTGGGGAGACAGGCCCTGGTTTCCCCTGTATAAGCTCATTCTTGTTTCTGTTACAGCAACAGAGATTGTTTCCACTTGCCTGTAGGGAATTTGCGTCTAGACTCAGGGCTGCTATGTAAACCTTAGGTTTAATGAAAACACTCTAACAAAAGAAAAAGAACCTGAACCAGTGTGGTAACATCAGAAGTCCTCACTTGATCATGGACTAAGACTCTCTAATACATTGCATGGAATATTGTGAAAGAGACTGGTTTTGAGACCTCTTAATCTAAAGGAATAATTATGGGAATGCAAGCCAGCAATTCTTGAGTTCTAATCCTGCTCCTGTCACTGACTCATTAGGTGGCTCTGAGCAGGTCACTAACCCTCTCTGTTTCTGTTTCATTATGTACAAAATGGACATGATAGTACCACATTTTGAATGCTCTGTAAAGTGCAGAAGCAAGTACAGTCATTGTGAGGGTGGTATGTATAATGAAGAAAACCATGCTAGGCAATATATTTTCCATCTAATTTTGAGTAAGGAAAAAGCATGACTGAGGATGGAGGTAGGGGGAACAGTAGCAATGAAGCCATGGTTACCATCTCATTTAGGATGAAAGAGAGATCGCCCAGAAGGAAACATTTCAGTTAGCACATGGGAATGAATAAAGGAAGTAAAATCCAGTAAGAGAAATGGGAAATGACATAGCAGGAAACTGCTCCCAAAGATACATTCTTGTATGACAAAGGGTGATTCATAGATTCATAGATGTTAGGGTCGGAAGGGACCTCAATAGATCATCGAGTCCGACCCCCTACATAAGCAGGAAAGAGTTCTGGGTCCAGGTGACCCCAGCTAGATGCTCATCTAACCGCCTCT